GATGTCAGGACTCCTGGGTTCTATCCCTTGCCAAGCCCCAGCCCCGTGCCTCAGTTTCCCTCTCCATACTCGAGGCTCACTATGGCCGTCCCCTCGCCAACAGCCAGATGGGGGCAGGCTGGGGGCGGACAAGGTTCCCCCCGTCCGCAGTGTCCTGGGATGTCTCTAGTCGTGCGATCGCACAAGGGAGCAGGCTCCCCCAGCTCTGCGGGGAAAGCCGGGACCCCTGCGTCCAGCCTGCACCAAATCGCCGTGCTTTGGATTCCAATCAGCCGGTGGGAGAGAGCCGTGAGCTCTCCCACACGCCAGAACCCTGACCCTCTGTCGCCCAGGTTTGGGACTCGGGGCAGTGAGGACTGCAAAGGGGAGATGGGGGCGCTCCTACCTGCACCATAACCAGCGGGGACCCCATAGCCTGTGCAGAAAGAAGGAGAGAGGGGTTAGAGCCAGACGTGTTTGTGGGAGAGTGCACAGCGCTGCCCACTGCTGGAGGGGATCGGGACTGTGTGTGTGTGTCAGGTGTCCTATAGTGCTCCGAGCTAACAGGGATTCTCCTTTAGCGTCACACTCCCCAGAGAGGACTCCAGTATTTCTATGCCCAGCAGGTCAGGGATTCACCCTGCCAAGGTGGGCAGAGAAAGGAGCCTTTGCCCTCAGTGGGGCACTCGATCTCCACTCACCTGCTTTGCCCGGCTTCACCCGTACACCTGGTGCCACTCCAAACCCGTTCTGAGCTCCTGCCGGGAACAGAGAGGAAAGGGATTAGCTGGGAGGAGCAGCGGACAAGATGGGCTCCATCTCTGCTGGGGGAACAGTCCCTCTCAGATGGAGCTGGCCAGGTCTCTGCCCTGGGTGGGACGGATCTGGAAGGATCTCAGGGTGTGGGGTCTCATGACTGGAGGACACGTTTTCTGGAATCCCACCACCCAACCATCCCTGCTCAGTTTGGGAAGGAGCTGAGACCAGACGTCACGAGCACCATGGGCAGCCCCCAAACCACCCAGCAACTTCCGCCCCTAGCCTCTCACCCCCCCAGCCCCACACCCAGGGCTCACCCGGTCCCGGCTGCAGTCCTTGGGGTCCATAGCCGGTGTATGGTCCTGGAAGGAAGGAGCAGACACTAGTGTTGAAGGATGCAGCAAACGCACCATCACAGTTCGCTACAGGGGAGTCGGACCTAGTGGGTTAGAGCAGGGGGGCTGGGAGCCAGGACTCCTGGGTTCTATCCATGGCTGTGGAAGGGATTGGGGATTGGTGGGTTAAAGCAGGTGGGGCTGGGAGCCAGGACTCCTGGGTTCTATCCCAGCTGTGGGAGAGAAGTGGGGTCTGGGGTAGGGGCTGGGTGTCACCCACCTGCCTTGGCTCCGGCTGGTCCCAGTCCAGCTCCAGGGTGAACTCCCCCTACGCCTGCAACCCATATAGCACACGGGGTGAGCCAGCCCCCTGTGCCCCCCCCCCGCTCTCCTGCTGGGAGACCATCCCCCCTCCCCTGAGAATGCTGGGTCCAGCTCAGCCAGCTAGCCAGGGACCCCCTGGGCAGCCCTGCCCCCTTTCCCCAGCCCCCCTCTGCATCCTTCATCCAGCCTCATACACACCCCTTCCCTCTCTCTCTCCATCCACGCCCGATGCCCCCTCTCTTCCCCCTAACATCACGGTCTGCCCGCTCAGGAACACCTCCCCCTGTGCCCGGCTGGGGCGCCACTTACCCCGGATCAGCGATGGCAGGTAGAGACGCCCTAGGGCTCCGTTTGCCTGCGGTTTCACTCCTGGGAGGGGGTACAGAGAGGGGGGCATAGGGGAGCTGTCAGAGATGGGGTATCCCTAGAGAAGCGTTGAGGTACAGGGTGGTCAGGGGATACCAAGGGGCTGGGATTCCTGGGAGATATGAGGGGACTGTGGGTTGAGGGTCCCTGCAAGAATGGGGTGGGGAGTTGGTGACCCTGGCAGAGGGGGGCACTGAGGACGGGGGACGCTTTCGGGCAGGGACCCATGGGAAGAGGGTCTGGGATCAACTCCAGAGCAACAGGTACAACCCAGGAGTCCTGGTTCCCAGCCCCATGCATGGGCGAGGACAAGGGCGGCTGGCAGCACCTGAACTGGGACTTTGTGAACCAATCCAGGACTCCTGGGTTTTCTCCCAGCTCTGGGAAGGGAGTGGAGTCTGGTGGGTGAGAGCAGGGGGGGCTGGGAGCTAGGACTCCTGGGTTCTCTCCCGGCTCTGGGAGGGGAGTGGGGTCTGGTGGATTTGAGCAGGGGGATCTGGGAGCCAGGACTCCTGGGTTCTCTCCCGGCTCTGGGAGGGGAATCAATCTAATCTCATCCTTAATTCAACCCGTTTCTCTCCCCTCAGCCAGGGGCTAGACATCCCTCCCCCGAACTGCAGAGCTGCCCCCAAGTGTCCCCTCTGGTCCCCAGGACCTGCAGCACCCCACAGGGGCAGTGCCATCATATGAGGCAGCCCTGGCCCCCACCACTATCCTGTCCCAGCCCAGCCCCCCAAGCCCCACCCCCCTGCCCTGCTCACCCCCCTGCAGGCTGCCCCCGGCCAGGCACAGCAGCAGCAGCAGCAAAAGCAGCCCAGCGTGCAGGGTCCCCAGCCCCATGGCGATGTGAGCTCCCCCTCAAGCTCTGGGCCCCCTATATACCCATGGCCCCGCCCCCCCAGAGAACGGCTCTGCCCCTGGCCCCACCCCCAGCGACCCACTGCCGGGAGGGGGGAGCACCTGCAAGGAGGGGGCAAGGGAATGTGTGTGATACACCCGCACACCAATAGACACACTCCATTGCTCGCAATGAAACACACACACACTGACACACTTGCAGTGATACACACACACATATAGACGTACACACTGTTACACTGATACACACACACCTTGAAACACACACTGATCCACAGATACACACCGATACCCACTTGCGCTGATCCCCACACACATATACACCCCCATCGACACACATACTGATACACCCCCACCCTGTTCCACGCACACACTGATACAACCATTGATAGACACCCATCCACACACACATACACTGATACATGCAAACACAACCGGAGACACACGCACCGATCCACACAACCTCACACACCATCCACCCACACAAACACAGACACACACTGCTGCATACACCCCACATTGTGCACACACCATCCGCAGATACACTAACACACACACTCACATCCCACAGGCGCGCACACAGTTGCAAACAGTCACACAACACAGCTATGTGCGCACACGGAGCAGGGGTCAACCCCTCAAGCAGGAGGTGGCACTAGGGATGCCCCCCCACAGACACACAAACGGTAACTGCAGCTTGTCAAAACGGGGTGTATGATTATGTAATTGTGTCTGCAGTGTGGGAGTGGGGCTGCGAGTCGGGAGTGAGGGGCACTGGCTGAGCTGGGGGGGGAGCCCAGGGCTGGGCTAGCAGGGGCTGCGGGTCGGGAGTGAGGGGCACCGGCAGAGCTGGGGTGGGAGCCCAGGGCTGGGCTAGCAGGGGCTGCGGGTCGGGAGTGAGGGGCACCGGTAGAGCTGGCCTAGGGGCCCAGGGCTTGGCTAGCCTCAGCCTCTTGTGATACAGAATTGTTAAGGGCCTCCGGTGCTGTGGGCTTCCTCCCAGCAGTGCCCTGGCAGCTGGCGGCCGTGCTGGAAGCGAACGCCAGCGCGCGCCCTGCTGAGGAAGCCATAAAGCCGCAGGATAATTCGCTCTGTCTGTTGTCACCGGCCAAGGTAAACGTTGGGCCCCCGGCCCGGCTGGTAAAACACCGATCCCTGCGGTCGGCAAACAGCCCTCCAGCCAGCTCAGCAATGAGTCCGATCCGGTTGTGTCTGAAGAGTCTGGAGGTGTGGGGGATCGTGTGTCAGGGGGGGCTGACCCCCAGATCCTGCCCTATGGGGGGACCTCTGTTAGGATGGGGGGAAATGGAAGGGTCCGGGAGAGGATTGGTGTGTACATGAGCTGCACTGCACCCTGCTGGAGGGACCATATATAGCATGGCGCCCCCTAGCACCAGGCTGGGATATGGGGCAGGGACCCCTGGGGGCACGGTGCCCCCTAGCACCAGGCTGGGATATGGGGCAGGGACCCCTGGGGGCACGGCACCCCCTAGCACCAGGCTGGGATATGGGGCAGGGACCCCGGGGGCACGATGCCTGCTGTGTAGATCTTTGGGGCTCTCACCCTGCCCCGGCACATTTTGGGTGCAAGATCCATTCCCTACCTCTGTGGGGTGGGGGATCGGGGTGGGGAGGGCGCTATGGGGGTCAGATGTGGGGAGGACAAGCACAGCTCTGTCAGGGAATGTCACATGGGGAGGGGGACGGCGGGACTGAAAAAGCAGCGGCTCCCTCCCTGGGCAAGGGGCGAATGCCCCACTCCCCACCCCCCCACACCCGGCTCGGCAGAGCCCAGGGGCGCAGTCCTGCCACCAGGGGACGTGTCTGCCCCTTTTGTCCCCAGCACACAAAGGCTGGAAACTGACTCTGGAGAGCGGCCCTGACCCCGGGAGCTGGGGATGAAGGGAATAGACTGAGACTGAGGGACCCAGGAGTCCTGACTCCCAGCCCCCCTGCTCTAACCCACTAGACCCCACTCCCCTGCCAGAGCTGGGGAGAGAACCCAGGAGTCCTGGCTCCCCGCCCTGCCCCCACCCTCTTATCACACTGCTCTTTTTCTTTCCTTCTCCTGACACATTCCTCCCGTCTGCCCCCTGACCCCTCCCTTCCTATTCCCCAACTGACCCCCTGCCCCAGACATCACGGCCCCCTGCCAAATTCTCCCCACCCAGCCACTATTTGCCTTTCCCATCAGCCTCTCCGGCTGTCTGTGAGGGGGGAGCCCAATGGGGGGGGTGACCCCAGGTGACCCCCTGCCCCATGATTCACAGGCCCTCCTTTGAAACACTGCCCTGCAGTATTTTACACGGTGAGGATACGGGGAGTGGCAGCTGGAGAGAACCCAGGAGTCCTGGCGCTCAGCCCTCCCGCTCTAACCCACCAGAGCCCACTCCCCGCGAACCCAGGAGTCCTGATCTAG